AACACCACACTACACCACACAACACCACAGTCACACCACACCAAACCACGGAAGCAGTTCCAATTCGCTCGTTGTAGGTAAATGCCGAGTTAGTTTTGTGTCAAGAGATTGCTGCTTTATGTTTTTGTTAACGGAAAACGATTTGATGTGGCGTGTAGGGCTCTCTTTTCACGTCTTTACACGATGGTTCTGTTCTCAGTTTAATCTCTTCTTTTGGTTTCTTGACTCACCAAAATATCAAGAAATATTAAGTTCCATTTTATTATCTTTTGTCATGATGTAATTGCGCTGGCTTTGTTTTTTATGCAGTTTCCCTTTTTGCAATGTTGTGAATGCCTTGGTTGAAAGCGTCTTTATTTCGTTGACTTTGGATCAATGTTTTGGCAGGTCTGAATCTCGATCCCCTTTTCCAACATTCAACAACCATGCCTTCTTCTTTAAACATGATTTTTAATCATTGAAAGCTGCTTTATAGGGACTGTGTAGGTTTCCGGAATTCTCGCTTAAATAGTCGTGATTTATTGATTGCAATGTGTTGCTTACTATCCCGAATTTACCTCCGTTCAGGATATGCTGAATAAGATCAAATGGCGGAGGGATCTAAACGCCTAATTAAATGTAGACCTTCCAATTATATTTCTCACGATTGGCAAGCCTCTCGAGTTCGGTACGTGCTTTTTTTACACCCGTTTTCTAACAAAATTTCGTTTTTTTATACACAATCATTTCCTGTTAAATGTTTGATAGAGTGCATGTGAAAGATATCAATAAGATATCAGCTACTTATCCCTTTAGCTTTTAAAGCTACCTCTAACTGTAGCTTACTTGACCTTTTAGGTAATTCCGGGTGAGGTCAGCTACAAGCTTGCACTATTTTATTTCCTGGCACAGTGAATCGTCTTGGTTAGATTACATCCATGATTATTGTAATGTTGTCGTACTTGGCTTCACATTAGATTTTTTCTAATCGGTCTGCGACCTCAGGGACTAATTGCGCACCCGTAAATGATAACTTAACAATTGTTGTCTGTAATTAAACACTTTTCTAACTTTATGCAATAGCCAACTTTTCATTAATTCTAGTTTTACTCACAATGAAATCGAACGCAAACGTCGAGCTCGGTTAAAATCGGAAACCGACTTTCTTCATCAGCAACTTCCAAAGGCGGTCTATCGAGATAAACTTGCCGTTTTTAAGGCTGGGGCTGAACTCTTGCTTAAATATTCAAGTGGGTTGCCCATCTGCTGACGCATTTTATGATTTTTAAATGTAAAGTTATGCAAAACTTGCGTCTTTTATTTTATTTATGCTCTTTTTTGAATTTTTCTAAAATAGGTGATAAAATACATGGAGTAACAGGAAATGTGACATAACGGATAGTTTATCCGAGACTTCTATGCATGCATAAGGCTATATTTAGCCATCAATTAGTTTGTACTGTTACATCGAATTACAAGTAAATATTTCTTGAATCCTCGCCATGACATGACAATTGAATCATCTTTGAGCTGTCACTTTTGTTCAGTGTTACCAGGTGACCTCGAACTTTGCGGTAGCGGTAGGGTAGTGGTAAATGGTGTTGAGTTGGGGATGTTGCACCATCAGATGGAAATCGTTTTAGATTTTAATGTTGTACCGCTTAAAAATATGAACATAATAGAAGGTGCATTCCAGTTCGGATTTAACCTAGATCATGCTGCCGCGTAATTATGTGGCTCTGGTAGAAGTACCTAGAACAGACCCAGCGTCAAATGTAACATCTGTTGTTTTTCATTTTATAGCCATGCAAACTCAGTATTGTACTGTCCGTCGTAATCTTATTTGCACGTCTACACTTTGCTTTGAGGAGTTGTACTCAAACGAGTGCAAAATCGTCTTTTTGATCCTGGGCGTCTCTTACTGTTCCAAGTTTCTTTAGCACCTAGGCACCAACAAAACCCTACTAATTAGTGTTGAACCACTGTTGAGCAAAATGCGAGTTTTCTGTACGTCATGTTACAGTGCAGTTTTGTTACTGTATACGTTTTTTCGATGTAGATTCAAACGGTTCTGATGCGCGAAATCTCATCCTCACTGACAGCGAGTATTCAGCATGCATACTAAATGTAAGATTACTTGCGCAATAACTTTTTTTGCGTAGTCACCTTTGGTCTTTTTTCACAAACCATTCACCGGATTCCAGTGTTAAACACCAAAGGCGTTTTATGCTAATTAAATGTAAAATTTTACGGTATTTCTCCTTTTTCGCACATACGCTTATATAGTTTTAAATGCTGATTTTAGAATTTTCAGGGATTCGGCATGCAGATAAGATGTGAGGATGGGATGATTTTGATGACCACACAGAACTGGAGCCAGTGCCTTGGTCCCGATTTCGTAAGTATGCTCGACCCCTTTGTTCGTAATTACTGTTTGTAGCTTTATAATGTTGTAATCAATATCTATGTTTGACCTTTTTCCAAGATTGTTTTGTTCGCCACAGCGATTTCTTGATTCAATCACCCCAATTTTGTGGAATATTTTTAAAAATCTGCGAAATATACTTCATGTAGGCTGTAGTGAACCTTGAAACACATTTAATTTAGTTCAGCCGTCCGTATTTCTGGAACTTTTGGCACTAGTTTTTTCACCTTGTGCTAAGTTAATGTGACCTCGTCTTGTTTTCTTTGCGGGCTTTGGCCAAATACTTGATTCTTCTAACCCAATGTGTCCCTTCTGCATTTTTCGCGTAATCCTGGCGTAAAGGCCGATTTTTGTGGAGCTTTGGTTTATTTCTTCACAACTAATGTACCCTTTCTAGTCTTTTCCAACAGGAAAGAAGATCCGTGAGGTGATTCTGTCGACTGAACTGACAGAGGGGATTATTGAAGCCAATCTTTCGCTGTCACCTGAGGAGCGCGCTCAACTAACAAATGGGCGTATGTTAATATTAAATGCGCACACACTTTTGGTTGGTCTCTTGTACTTCGAGTTTCGAATTATTTACAAGCCACTCTGAAATGCCAAGCTCGCCCATGATTTTTCATTTTGTTTCCATGTCTTTTCCTTACATTACTCACGATTTACTAGTATGCGCAATCGAGCAAAATCTAGGGCTAGTATCCTCACCGTCTGCATTTTGCGTGCTTTTACAATTTCGGACTTTCACACAGATTTCGAGGTGTACCGGGAAGCTACATATCACGCTTACATAGCTAGGATTTTTTTTATCTTTAAATAATAGACTATTGCCAACTTTTGCGTGACATTGAGTCTTTTCCAAGGCAGAACGTTGACATTGGAGGGGCACAAATGTTCCTTGGTTTTCGTTTTGTTAATGTCTAATTGGTTGATTTGGTAGACGTCGTTAGTCATAGAATGGACGCCCGTTTATTTCACTGCTTCACGGTTTTGCTTCGCGTTATTTCGTACCACCGGACAGTGTTAAGGCGGGCTGGGGTGCAACTCCATGCACCATCGTGGTGCACTCTTTTGCGGTGCCGTGTTCGCGTTCTGTAATTTGAAGAAAATTGATGTGCTTCTAAAATCGAAGCATAACGGGCATGTTTATTTCGCCACAAAAGTTACCCAAGCTGTTTCAAGTATTAGATGCAAGTCGATTGTGTGGCGGCTATGAGGGATGAGCACGGTCGTCACGCACAGACCCAAATCCCAACCGCGATGTGCTTAAGAGTAGCCTACATTGTCGATGCCCTTGTATGTTCTTTTTTAGTGGTTGTTCTCAGATGCAACTTCTGCTCATTTTTATACTTCGACTTTGATGACAAGTCAAAGTCATCAAATCATGATGTCTTCAAAAATTGCTAATAGCTGGCTGCGTGCTGTGTTCATGCCGATATTTTCACGAAACCGATTTGTTGGTGTGACCGCAAGCTAAGCAGTTTTTGTTGTGATAGTATTTGATGTTGCTTTACGTAACCACCGTTTGTCTTTCAGAAGTTGTCGCCCGGAATTTTATACTTCCTGTTGTCAGCACTTCGAGTACACTCCAAAATTTATCTGAGAGGAGTTTTTGCCTTATCGAATGCTGCGGGGATATCGGTGGGTTTGTTTTATCCAGATCCTCTGTCTTAAAACCTTTCAATCAGTGGGACTCCTTGTATTCATACGATAATCAGAGCATTTTAGGAAATTGCTAGGTTTATTTGCAAAAGATTATCTGCTTTCGATAAAATTTGAGGAGAAAATTCGTATTATTTGAAGAGATTGTTCATCATGTTGTTAATTTTTATCTTGCCATCGTTCTAAGAAGCGTACCTTCCACCATAATGGGGAGGGCGAATATGGTTCAGTGCGCTCCTACCTGAGGTGCTGTCAGGTGTTTATTAGGAGTTAGCGCAAGACATCCCTGTTGACGCATATCATTTTGTCGGCTGGAATGTGACGTCATAACGATTCTGCCCATCCACCGCTGATTTCCGCCTAGAGACTGTAAGACACGCGGCAGTGCTGCTGTAATAAACCACTTAATTCTGAGGAAACGTCTTTAATATGCACATTCAATTTTGCCAACTACGCCACTTGTTTTCCGTTAATATTTAGGAGTTTACGGTAGTTCTTCTTGTTTCCGTATATCTGTCGTGCTCTGCTTCTTCGTTTACCGCTGTTTCCAACTTAGAGCATTTGTTACTTGCGGTAATTAGCAATCGAAAATGAAAGTTTGGTCCTTTCGACTTACCTACACTGTGAAGCACCAAAACGCCGCTGAACCAAGAGTCTACCGATGGGTCATGCTAGGTTTTTAATGAGTCAATGTCAGGTGGATTTTGATTCCGGATAGCACTGAAAATGTCATGACCTTGCTTTTATCAGTCGTATCCCATGCACGGCCGAGTCACTTTTTTCTTATTGGCAAAATGTCATTTTGAGACACTTCATTTAGAATTTGTAGTGTCAAAAATACAAAACTAGCTTACAGGAATGTCTTCTTCGTGGATTCAATAACGAGACCGTGTCATAATTGATTGGCAAATTTTTATTCAAGTCTATGAGTAAGTCACGGAAATACGGTGATTGCGAATTTAAATTATCAGCCTGTCTTTGAGGCCAACGGAGGCCAAGTACATTTACGTTGGCCTCCGTTGCATTTTCTCTTCGAAGTGGTTGAGCTACCACAAACCGATATTTGTAAATGCAAATAAAAAACGGGCCTGCGCATGGTTAAGACAGATTTGCTTGTAATAGGTTTTTACATAATTTTCTAGCCACCAGCTCTCCATTTTAAAATCTTTTAGCTTTGTTACCCACTGCTCACACCGAAGACGGCCAGGTGCCTGCGAACGAGCCCGTACTGCAGGTCATTTGCCGTGCTTTGGAGCACAAATCTACCGACCAGGATGTGTCTAACGGCAAACTCTTTTCACTACGCATTCAACCCGAATCGCATTTAATCTTGGAACTCAATAGCCAGTGAGTCGCTCTGTAGTCCTCCACATTTACTACCGAATTTGTTTAGTTTAGGTGACTATCTCTCCAGAATTAATCACCAAGCAACAGCCCAAGAGCTGCTACTTTGACTCTTTCTCCACATCCGACTATACGGTCATTTCAAAACATTGTGGGACTACTTTTTATCATAATCTAAGGTTTGCGGAGGGGGGCACTTCCAATGTACGGTTCTCTACAAAGTCAGAGGTCACAGTACACCATCTTTTTGGGTTAGCCTCAATGGAATACCCAACAAGCAGAATCTAGCAATCTTTACACATCTGGTTTATGTTAATTATTAAGGTACATTTTAATCTTAATAGTGAACTACCGGCTGGCGTTTCGCCTGGTGATATGATTGGCCACTCACTGGTCGACCTCACCTCTCGAGCTTCCCAACCGATCATAGAGAAAGGTCTAAATAACGGTAAGGTGTTTAGAAAATTTGAATGTCCTTACAATCTTGATTAATACTCGAACGATGAATCCCAACTCAACATAACTCGTGAATCCACTTTATCAACTTAACAGATAAGCAAATCATGAGGATAAGCTTACTGAACAGAGAATGAGTTGACGAACAGAAGCCACACCTGTTCACTAGCTGGGTGATCAAGGGTACGAACTACGGGTTGTTGTGAGACACGGTGTCCCAGTACGTACTTTAGGGCGGCTTTTTGGTGTTGTGCACACTATGGTCCTAGGCGCCTTTACAGCGATGAAAGAAAATTGGAGCCGAAAGCGCATGAGGCACCAAACGATGGTAGTCCCACGTTTTCAAGCACCAATGATTCTTCGTTCCACGACCCATCCACAATATATCATTAATTATGAGCATGTGCGTTCCCGCTATTTTGTCATTGAAGCGCCTGTCAGGCCCACATTTGCTAGTGAATTAAGCAATAATTTAATCGGTTTCATTGTTGCGACCATGAATTGTCCACGGAAGCATCATCTGAGCTCGTGACTACGGCCTCATGGTAAGAAGCTTTAAGCAACAGAAGACAGGGTTCGCCTTGGTTGATGGTTCTGATGCAGTGCAGCGTACACTAACAGAGGTTTTTACTAATCGACACTATTTTTAGCGGCACGAACGGGCGAGGCCGAATTCACAATCTCCTTGGAGCGTCCTTCGGCTCTCGCTGGGCCCTTGCAGTTTCTGGTTGTGGTCAAGGCCATCACTGTTTGCGACAGCCTCCACTGTCTTGTAGCAGATTTCTATCCCCATCAGAAGCAGGAACCATAGCCTTACTGGTCTTCCCCTCTTATCTATGTGACTGGTAGCTTTTCACTTTTTCTTTTAATCTGTAACTTTGCATTTAACTTATGCAACTGGATATATGATTTGGCTCAAATAAACGTGCCGTGAAATCGGTGGAGCTCGCTTACTGGAAACAGCAATTTGAAATTGCACCTCGGTGCCACAGAAGCATAGAATCTGCAACTTTTATTTTATAGGCAGTGAAGCAGTTCAGTGTTGGGTATAATGATGGTTTAGCTACTCAAATCCGTACGCGGGACGAGATCTACCTAACATGCCCGTCTGCTGGTCGAAATGCGCGTATCACCAGAAAATCGAACGTATGACCATGTTACACGTGTGTGGTGCGAATGCACGAATGAGTCGACATTCACGTCAAACTGTGGCGTCAGGAGAGCACGCATATAGCGAGAACGGATTTGAACGCAACTGGCCCAAATGCATAAGTACATAAGACTGTGCTAACATTCTCAGATCGGAAGGACGTGTTACTACAAAATAGAAGGAGAGCGATTCAATACATGTTATTCATCCCACCGCTCCAAACCCAACGCACTTGGGTCAAAACCAGCATGTTCTAAAAGCACGGCGGGGTCGGGCTTTGGCTCAGCTGCGTATTCCAGCCAAGCTTCAATGGCTTTGCGCCCAGCAATTTTGTATTTGTTAGTTACTTCTTTTATCTCTTCTATTCTCCCCTAAAAAAATAACTACACATTTTTCTGTGGTATTACCTACCTCCTCATAAATCTTTAATAGCAGTTCGCATTTCCTCTTCAGTTCTCTCTTATCCTCTATTCGTTGCTCCATCGCGTCTATGTAGAGGACTTAGACTTGATACATAAACTTACTCCTTATTTGATTCTTATTGTTCATTTTTAGGTACAAGAGGGAGAGAAAAAAACCTAACAAAATTCGGGCCTTTAATAAGACTTAAAAAGTCGCATACCGACCATTTACAGAGTTTATTTAACAATTTATAAAAGAACGAAGCAGACTTTGTTCATGGGATTTGGACTCTCCACTGTTCGTGAATAGAGGCGAATGGTTTCTCCGGGAATAATATTATTCGAATCAATTATTTTCATCAGTATGGATTTTGAGCGTGCAAAAACAGGGAGATGATAAAAAGAACAAATTCCAACCCTTAAGACTTAACAACGACCCAGGTTTGATACAGAGGATGTTTAGGAGAGCAGAATAAATTTTGACTAAACTATTCTCCATTAAAAAAGATACCCGTATGAAAATGAACCCTGGATGAGAAGCAAAAACAACAAAAAACATCATTAACTTGGGATCCCGATTAACATGGAAACAATAAGTTGGCCAACTATTATTTTACATATAAGATATCATTACCAACAAGAATTTTGGAAGTATCCAGTTAACCACACTATGGAAATATAAAAGCGATTCAAGTAAATCGAATGTTACAGATCCGACACTTGACAAAAAACAGATCGCACACGAGAACTGAGCAATGTTTTATTCCAACGCGGGGATGAAATTTGTGTAGCAAAACACAAAGAAACAAAAGTACTTTTAGGCGTATTTGTTGACATATTTTGCTTAGATTTTAATTTAAGCAAGTATACAAGATTTAAAAGAGACAACATGTGCAAAATAATTTTTAGCAGAGTTAATTAAATCTTAACAAATTTAACATTTCTATGCATCAAGAATGCAGCATTGGCTTTGCTTCAAGGCTTTTGTGTAAGTCGACTTAATTAAGGCAAAAAATTCTGTCACTAAGCAATTAAGGTGCATCTACAGAAACCCCAAGATTTTGTATTGAAAAATGTCTATTTTGCTTTCATATTGATTTTTAGAATTGTTTATTCCAAAAACATTTATTTTGCGTGCAAAATGGAATAGCACTATTGCCAAAAAGTAAAAATTTTATCAATTTAAAGTCATTTTTTCTGTTTTACAATGGTTCGGCCGAAAATTTGACAACATCACGATGGTAGAATTACTTCTCATTTCTCACGCTAACATCCCTATTTTGGATTGCTCTAGTCTTTGGTTTTGCAGTGGAAAAGTAACGGCTGTGTACAGTCGAAAGTAAGTAATATATAATATAATTTACAGGGCTTTGCGAAAATTAGAGTTGTTCTAATAAACTGTGGGGTTGAGTTCCGAAGACTCTGAAAAAGAGAAACAACTTTTTTTATCAGTAGCAATATAGTTTTAGAATGACTAAGCGCAAAGCTGAGTTTATTTAAATAGTTCGCTGTGTTCATCAATTTAATATTTTCCTATTCTCCTCACCTCAGGAACATATGAACTCCTGTCTAATGATTCCATTTTCGTATTACTCTTTGAGAATTTAGCCTTTCCCTATTCCGAATTACGTTAATGAAACTTTGGTCCTGAAATATAAGGATTCTGTTCAGTGAAAAGCATAACTGTGAATGGGTTTGAGTAACTTTACTTTGCTTGTACTTTTTTAGAATTAAATAAAAATCTGTCTTTGTGTTTATGGTCATTAGTCTAATTCCAAATAGTACGCACGTTTTTGTGTAAGGGTTATCGTGAGCAAGATAAGGTTTTTTTTGTTTTTTTCGGATTGATTCGAAGAAATTTTAGTGCGAATGCATTATTATAAGACCGTCAATAAACTGTCATCAGCACAGCATGCGCGTTACCTTTTATCAACAAATTTGCTACAGATGGATTGTTTTGAGATTCTTCCATACTCTTATGTACCTCTATTTTCAGATATTCTTCTATCATGCTTACACACGCCCACACAATGGCACATGAATGGATTGCAAATAAGCGGATGGGTAAATGATTTGATTCGTCAAATACATCGACGAGACTAGGGAGTATCAAAGCACGGTTGCATGGTTATTTATGCCCACGTAATACTTAACTACTTATGCACCGGGTGTAACAATGAATCAATAACAACGGCAATGAATCAGTAGTGTTAGCTTGCACTAACTTGCAGTTCTGCTAGATAACGGCCCATAATAACCCAAAAGCAGATAAGAGATAGGCGGCAGTGGAAACGATTCTTAATTCGCATCGGACCAACAAAGTTTGTTATCTCGTGAATGTTCGTGAGTATGATTATTAAGCTTCTGTGAGCAGTGACCAATGAATGTAAGAGTGAGCCATTGATGCCACTGAGTTGATGCATTAAATCGATTGGATCTGCATTCGCATTACATGAAAATATAAAGTTCCTATACCTTGTCTTTTTGTTACTTGAAACGATTCAAAGCAAAGCGAAATCTGAGGGGTCTCTAAATATATTTTTTGTATCTCTGTTATTAAGTCCGGCTTTGATGCCAAAGACATTGAGAGAGGGAACAGGGACTTCGATAATTTGTGCAACCTGAACAGGAAGTTTGATAAACCTGTTGGCATCAACCGCAATAATATCGATGAGAACCGACTCTACAAGCCCTCGTCTTCAGCATATTCATTGTAGCAAACAAACCAGTGATTGCAACGAAGTCAAACCGTTCGCAATTGTATGAGTCAAAGCCCGTTCCTATAAGAGGGATTCCATAATTAGGGGTAGGATGTTGATTTTCTACAAGGTTATCGAACGCACAAAAGTAAAGTCAAACTGAAGTGGCTCTGAAATATAATACCTTATGTTGTGGCACTTGTTCTGCATCCGTCACGCCAAATTTAAAGCTTAATGTTTCGTTTGACCAGATTTTGGAACTATTAAGAGACTATGGATTGGAAAATCGAAATCCATCTATCTTTCTTTTGATAGCATTTCCTAATTGCTTAATAAACTACACGCTGTTTTGAAATCACCTCTTTTGTTCTATCGGGTCGACAATAGCAACAGATCAGTTACACATTGGTGGTCACCATGGTGCTTTTACGGCACTTTTCCACAATTCGCATATGGCGCGAAGCTATCCAGCCGACACACGCTCACAAAAGGCCCTCGAGGAGATTTATGAAAAGGAGAGTCTGGCTGCACTCAAATTCTTCTTATCCCACCGAACATCCGAAAAGGCAGTGGATAAGAAAACCCGGTTTCCACATAATCAGACACTTTGTTTGCCGAAACGTGAACCGCTAACCGCAGTTAGTGAATCTGAAACAAGAACCGTCAATGAGGAACCGATCGCCACTCAAAACGTCAGCACCACTACTAGCAGTCTTTCGTTTATGCGCCCCGTTAGTCCAGCTTCTCAAGAGATATTACATGGGGAACAAGGTCAGACGTAAGTTCGAACTTAGGACCATTGCTTTACTGAAACATATGCCAAATTCCTATCAATTGAAATTGCCGCTCTTGATTTCGAAATCCCTGAGACATTTCATAAGCTGACGGTCCGACTCACTCTAGATACGTGCAGATGTTAAAGGCTGAAAAACCAGCAGTCAAGGCATTTGCTTTGTCTTCCAGAAAAGCCTACTTGAAAGTGCGATCAAGTCGGATTCCTGAAGAAAGGTATGAAATACCAGTCATTTCATCAATGGAATATGGATGGAAGCTGTTTGAAATTCTTCCCAAGAACCAGATCACCCATCCACAATTTGGACGAAGCAGTGTCATTAGAGACCACTTTTACAGTGGCGGAAGGCTTTCTTTAAAAATGGGGGAAGACTGCCTGTAATCACCTCTTAACACCATCAAGCCTTTAAAATTAATGTCTTTAAAACAAAATGCACTTTATTTAAGATCAGGTAAATAAAGAATTGTACACAAAGTTTTTTTTGAGTCTTTTTTACAAGGAAATGCACAATCTAATTAAATTTCATGTTAATCACCTGACATCCATTTGTGCTCTGGCGGTCTGATAAAACACAAACACTTACTGATGCACGCTTAAAAGCGCAATAGCCAACAAGTTTTTTCCCCACTTGTTATTACTTATTAACGCGGGGCCTAAAGCCTTTCATTGCCTTTCCGATACGTCGCATTACCAACTGACCCAAAGTAGCAACTGGGTGGCCAACTTAATTGGCCAGACATTTGCAATGCTAGAGGAAACCTCTTACACAATCATAAATCGTCTACTCACGCCGGTTCAATAAGACCACCCGCGATTTTCATGTGTTTGATCACTTTTTTGCTAAATGTGGTTCGTGCGTATCATCGTTGCATGTTAAACCTTGAAAATTCAAGAAATGTATTTTTGAGGAACCCCTCTTTTTTGGGGTATTGTCTTTCGTAGAATCAAAGGTTAATGTGTGAACAAAGCCGACCAGTTTATTTTAACCCACAAAATTTGCTCAAAATACTTGGCGTCTCGTGCCTTTGCTCAATATTGCAACCAGCATGAAATAGTAGGAAACTTGGAAAAACTAAAAAAACCTCAAACCTATTTCACTCGTATTTGTACAAACAGTTAAAATAAATATTTAGGCTTCACAACGATCGCAGTGCCAACTTTAGAAAAGATTTAACTGGGACCAGCTTCGACTATTACTGCACAAAATAAATATCCTCAACAGGCAAACGGTAATTTAGAGAATGTCTTTCCATTAAAATCATCATCAACATCAAAACGTCCTAATTACGGTCAAGTTGTCGACATTGAAAGTTTGAATCGGATGACCAAGACTAAGGAAATGCTTGGTTGGTGGTGTTGAGAAAAATATCATTTATCATTGAAATAGAACAGCTAAGGAAGTCGGTATGGAAGTATTGTACGCAGGATATACAATGTTAATGTAATAGTGAATTGACGAGAAAATTAGCAAGGCAAAATCGAGATTGGTAAGGGGCGAAAATTGAGCAAATCACAGTTAATGGTTCACCGATATTGTTATCAGAAAGCAGTAAATGCAATCATATCGTGTCGTAGCGCCGCTTCCAACTGGCGATTTCTCGCGGTGCTGGACGAGGACGGTAGAGACGCCTCTTCTTGCATCGAAGGTGACTCCGTGCCCTGGGTGGTCGAGAGCTGCTGCTCCACGACAAGGTCACTGCCGCGGTAGTCGGATTCGCCGCCGTGCTCCGGGGACTCCATCAGGACTCGTTTCGACGCCGAGGAGCAGTAGTCCTCCTTTTCAGACAGATCTCTCCATTTTATTAATTGAACAGCTTTTGCGGACTCTGTTCTACGTGCGTGTTTCTGCTCACTTAGACAGATGCGTTCATTATCGTTTCCTTGAACCTTCTGCGTATCTACCAAACTATGTGATTTGCGGTCATTTAAAAGGACATTTGGAGAATGTGGAAGGCAATCTGCAGTATACGTTGTGCTAGAGACGCACTTCAATAAAGTTGGACTTGGAGGAAGTGGTGATTTAACAACTTCTCCCCGTGTCGCACCGTGGGAGAAAAACTCGGAGAGGCTCTTTCTTAAAACCGATCTGGAAAAAAGCAGAAATCATTTTTACCTAAATTGAATAAGTAGCATCTTATGTATAACAATAAAACTCACGTCTTGAGAGTGAGCTTCTTTGCCTCCTTTGAAAGACAAAAATTTTCATTCGCGGAGCTCCTTACCTTTCCTTCGACCTCTCCGCTAAGAGAAAATCTCTGCTTTAGGTCAACTTCAAGTGAATTCATCTCTGAATTTGCCGCTCCAAATTCATCAAGGCTTAAGTTATCGTCGTCATTTCCTGAATTGACATTTGCTGTTTCTGAGCTTCTAGTTGGATGGTCGTTACTTCCCAGATCATCGGTCTCAGCAGTCTGTCCCTCAGTGCGATTTTTCAGAGGTGGCAGGCTGCAGCAGTGGGCCCGACAAAAGTCCTGCAGACTGGCGCTGAGGTCCTGCATTGACTTTTTGGCTGAATTGGGAACTGCGTTGGGCAGGGGGCTGTCTGTAACCTCCGACGGCGGCTCACTCTCGCCCGCCAGGCTCTTCACCACACAGATCATGCTGTTTGTTATGTCAGCACAATTTTCACTCTCGAGTATAAGCAGTCCACGACCACCTACGCAGTGGCTTCCGGTCAGAATATATAGACGATCTTTATTAAAACCAAAACTACAAAAGAAGATATTTTCATAGTTGACTTTGCTCATACGCACCATAACATGCGATGTTAAAGTGAAAAAGTGACCGTGTGATCAAGTCAAAAAGTAATAGAAAAAAAACAAGCGGTTTCCGTGTCAAGGACTTCTTGACGCGTTTGGCGCCAAAAGGAAGCGGGTCGTTCGCAAAGTTGACCACAGCGAGGTTGTGTCAAAATTATGAATTATGCAATGAACGCACAGATTTTTTTTATCCTAGTATGTGTAGGATGCCTATAATCAATACTCAGCCTCCCTTTTCGGTCGGACATACCCACAAAACGTTGCAACTAGTGATTTATCATAACTTATTAATACTCCAATTAGACTTGACTTCGAATCTACGCGCTTCACCACAGCTGTATTCTTACTTTTTTTTTAATTACTAGTGTCTGCAAACATTTAGAACGGACTTTTTAGTATTAATTGCATGGAAAGACCATAATTTTCGTTACAAACAGCACTCCGCTCTTCGCCAATATTGCCACCCAACAGACTATCAGTTTAGTGTAAATGACTACTTACAAAATTATGGAATGATCGCCTACATTAACTTGATGTTTGTTGCTAGGCCATCAGCTACGCACAAGTCCACTTGTAAGAAGACATTCAAATAGTATGCTTAGGGGGAAATCCAGAAAACTTCAAATAACTATGCAGTCGTGACTGCGGCCTGACCATGCATCTGGAATGGCAAAAACTGGCAAAAACATATTCATCTAACTTTCCACAGACTGGTACTTAAATGCTCATAGTGTTTGTGTTCTTGAACACCGTTCCCGGAGTCACTTTTAACGCCAAATAGATTGACAAGTAATAATTGTTATGAGAAAACATTAATTACAACTCCCTTTTGACAGCTCATTTTCTATGTGGAATAGTGTGAACTATTTAATTGTGTAAGTAGACATATGATTTTCGGTGGACAGAAATGACTAACTCGACTTCTGAGCACATTGCTCATTTGCATAACAAATCGAAGGAAGGCCAGGAACAGGAGGACGACTTTTCCAGTTATGCAAATCAGTAGCCTATTTCATGCGCATCTGCGACAAAACCGTCTATCTTACAATAGGAGGTTTTTGGTGAACCGCAACGAGACCTACAGGCTGTAAGGAGCTAATACACTTTTCACAGATTTTGAATTTCCCCACGTTTGCATAGATGTCGCGGAGGCAAAGTGCAAATTTCACTCAGTACTACTGGACTGACTTTCACTTTGAACAAAAAAGAAGCAGACTGTGCGTAATGACGCTCTTTAAGCTTCCAAAATGTATTTTTTACTGTTTGCCTGGTAAAGAAGAGATCACTGTTGTAACTTCATATTTACAAACAACATCCGTACGATAAGCGGCGATGTGTAACAGGGAAAAATTCTCGAATGGCCATTATAAATGCCCGTTTAGTCCAGCAGTCCAGTTAAGGTATTCGAATGTCGGGCTTCTCGAATTAGGGCGACCTGTTGCTCGGCCAAACTTTCATGCTCACCCAATTTAGCAAGTTTACTTACAAACTGCCGTTTTTGCGTGTGACGACATTTTACGATTGGTCACAATTTAAAAGCATTTGCTTACATTTTCTGCTTGATTCAACTGACTATGAAATGCAACCTTAGCAGGTAAAGTTAAAAAAGTGCCCTTAATTATGGATGTTTCCACAGATTTAACGCAGCAAACACTGACTTCGCCGTTCTAGAACCAAATCTTCCAGTTGTTAAACCCAATTACACAGGCAGCATTTTTCTAACTAACTGGTAGATCATTATTCACAAATAGCAAAGGACGACTTTCCCATTTAATAAATCTGAAAAAGGAGAATACCCACACAAATTACCTGAATTATTGTCTTATATTTCATACTAACTCAATCACGAAAATTCTTCATGTCAGTGTGGGTGTGCGAGGGAATCAACTTGAATTGCGAATGACAGTAGTGAATGGTGAATACTAAACATTCTTCGGCAGGTATGGATGATTTCTCTATTTGTGCCTCTCGTTGCTAATGCAGCAAAATATCCTGAGGTCCGCTTTGATATTGAGATACTAGGACACCCCCTAAAGAACCTATGCTTTGGTAACCTCAAGACATTTACACTATATGAAAGGATAAAGACAAACAGACAGTCTGAAAAGCCATGTTGGTAAACGGACCATATTCACCTCTTTCTGATTTTTACCTTTGTCGGCTACAAATAGTTGACTGCCGAATGCTCATGGCTAGCTCTGAACTCGATAATCGCTTTTTGTGGAACAAAATTAAGGGAACCAATAATATTTTGTTTAAGGATAGTTTAACCAATAAAACAACGATAGAATAAAACGGTCGATTTTAAGCCGGGGGGCGACTTTAACTTCAAGCGCTTTTCACATTTGAGATAAATCAGAGCAATTAGAGTGCCCTGAGAGAGTCGAATTTTATCTCTTGATAGCAAACAACGTTTTGTATTAAAAAATGTCGATTTTTGGAAGTATTACATTGAAAGAGAGTTCAGAAGTCACTGCTTGCCATTACGTGTAAGTTTGACTGGTTTAAATCTATAGAGTTAGCATTTGCTTTAGGGTAATGATGCTTTGAGTTTGATTTATGACACTTACAAATGCCTAGTTTGCTGGTTTGCTATGCATAAAATAATGATGCTTTGGTAAGCACCCTAACATGTTAACATTTGCATGAGGAAACTTCAATTATACCTTAGATGCCGTTGAAACACCAAAAAAAATCAAGGTTTCCGAATGTCATGTTGTGTTGTTTTCAAAATGTGCTACTGCCCAGAGAAGGGGTTCTTCTGCTTTCAACAGTAAAGTCGAAGCACTATTGCAATTGCATCGTATGCAGCATCAAAAGCCATGAACGATTTAATGCGCTTACAGGGAGTTCACATTCTTCCACAGTCCGCAAATTTATTTGAAAGTTGAATTTACAGCAAAAGTTCTAGGCCTTGTATATGTTTGCCCCTTTTTGATTATTATTTAATTTTTATTATTACATGCAGTCATTACAAACTTTAGTTTGCTGGCTTTATCTGGACACTAAAAAAACTATTGACCTACCAGAACGTGCCTTACATTACTGTCGGAAATTCATGAGCAATATGTCAATCTTTCCTCTTAAGGCATTTGATCTTTCACCCTGATTTTTGCCCTTTTGGGAATTTGACCTGATCTTAAAGGGGTCCGTCAAGAATGATCGAATACAAGCCACATGTGTGTTTGAACGAAAGTGACTGTTAAAAATATTATGCAATTATCCAGGGAGACCTGGTAAATCCGATTTGGTGTAATTTTTTCTTCAAAGTATAGCAAAACCTCCATTTACTACGTTAGACCTGTACCATGAATTGCTGGTGCGTGGTGTCAAACGATTATTGGTACTTATGCTAGGCGTGCATTTATCAACAGCATCAGCCAAATTACATTTTATGAATAGTGGGGGATGCATTAATCAGCTTACCTTCTGATAGCCTTGAAGTGCCATCTGTTGATTTCAGACATCGTAATATAGTCCAACAAATAAATACTGTAGTCTTTTATTTCGAACAGGACAATTCCGTGAAGTTGTAAACGAACAGCAAGTTCAGTTGGCAAGACACGAACTTTGGTAACTTTGAAATAAATTGAAAAAAGCACTAAGATAAATAAAACATTTAAAGCAGACTAGTAGGTACAAGGCAGGACTTTACACTGATAAAACACCAACGCTGATAGAAGTAACTATTTTTGAATTTTAAAGTGCAGCATAAATTGTTAAACAAATAGCTGGGAAAACGCACTTACCATTTAAACCATGCTTCTCGTAGACTTGATTTTCAGTAAGGTAGTCATCGATTTCGTTAATATCACAAAAGGTTGGTAGGTCTCGTTTTTTTGCATTGTGCCAAGATCGCCTAAATCGATAGACATGATGAGAAGAATGTTTTTGATTTTTTTTCAGGGCTTCTCGAATATAAATTAGGAAAAGCCGCTGAGAAGCTTTTTCATTGAACCCAAAACGTAGCTCTTCTCCTTTAAGAATTTTGCGTTTTTGTAAGACGATCTGGTATCGCGGCTGAGATTTTGTGTGGTGAGCTTCATTTGTTGGATCATCGATTTCCTTATACGTACATTTCATGCATCGTTTAAAAGAATTAATATGGAATCTGGTCTCGTGGTCTTCTTCATCCATGGTCTCATAAATTTGTTCAATGGGATTGGCAACTAAAATTAATTTGCTTGGACACCCAGAAATTTCCAAGGTAGCTGGTATCCATTCCGATGAAGAGTGATCATCATTCTATAAAGAATTGTAAACATAGAATTTCAAAATGTGCACAATAATTGACTTGCATTATTAACAGAAGGAAACACATTTTTGAGAAATCGAACCAACCTTAGAGATATCTTGCAGTATGAACCCATCCCTCACCACAGCCATCGCGTCGAACTGATTCGAAAAACCGCTGTCAGCAAGTATTAATCATTGGTAGTTGCTTTAAACAATCTAGCTTCTGTTAGAACGCAAAAATTAATATTAATTAGTTATGCTTGTTTGGCCTTATTTTAATGGTATTATAGACTTATATGTACAGTTTCTTATATTTGAATTCATATATAAATGCTAATGTTTTTGGAATTTTCTACATTTGCCTAGTATAGAGGAAATCTGGTTGTCAAGTTAGCTACCGGAATTTATTCTTCAGCTAATTTGTTAATTGCTTTATCATTTTTGAAATAATGGAACTCTTGTGTTATGTGCTTATTTTTTACAACAGCATGACTGACATTTAACGAGTGATGAATTTTAAAATGTGCAGTGAGCTTGTGGATCAAAGTATATGACTTATTTTGAATATTATTTATTTGCTTACGAACCATTATCACCACTGCTTTTTTAACTTTGTTTCCTTATGTATGGATAAAAAACCACTTACCATTCTATATTATTCACAGCAACTAGATTTTATTGATTTGCAAATTTTTGTTCCGTTTGTTTATGACACGTTTCTGCAGACAATCTTTATAGCTGAATTTTATTTATCATCGGTTTTTGAAATAAAATTCCTTTTAAATTTGAAAAATTCGTAAAGTTTAGTTAGTGTCTAGACATATCATGTTGATCTTCCTAGGACGAACAAAATGTTTTTAGTAAATTGCAGGTATAAGTATTGAGATTTGTTTCGCTAATTATGTGTCGTAATTTGTAATATATGTGTTATCAATCCATTGAAAATTTGAAATTAATTAAAAGCTGTGATATACATTCATATTCAAACCAGCTTAATTTCTCTTAATCTGCAGAAATTTATTATTGGTTTTGATCCTTTACAAAAATGTTTTTGAATTTTGGAATCTTAATGTGCCATTAGTTTTTTTGAAGGTGCTTGTGCAGTTGCTAGAACTTATGACATCGCCGTCAGTTTCATACGTATTTCAAAAAAATTTGTCCATGTTTTATTATTTTTGATTTAATATTGCATGATTTCATTTTGCCTTTCTAACTATGTGGTGTTAATGATAATATTACTCTTCATGTTGCATTTTGAAATAGTTGAATATCAGTTAACTTCAACCAAGTATTCGGTTTCATTAATATGTAATATTAAATAATGCAAATATTCTTAGCAATTCTGATTTTTTGCCTTTTGAAACAGTAGACCCAGGCAAGCAGGTTGTAAAAATTTTTCTTTAATGTAAGCAATGTTACCAATGCAGTAGAATTTAACGCTGTAAAGTAGCCGGAGTAGTTTCTTTTCAAAAATCATAATATGCAAATCAAATCATGCTTCTAAGCGCATTTTGGTTTGATGAGGCCGCAATGGAAGCATTGGCAGTAAAAAGCGTGAGTTTGAGATCACTAAGGGTCAGATGTTGCCTGGAGACTTTACGTGACTATGTGAGAGCATTTAAAGTGGTAGGGAGAAATCGTGGAGAGGAAGACCTTTAAACACACTAGGTAGATGACATAAAGTAAGAGGAGTGTTCAGTTGGTCACGGGTCTTGGAATTCGATAAGGATAAAAAACCAGAAGACAAAAACGACGCGCATCATAATAATTGACGAACAATTCGTGTATCGTTAAACGCAAATTACTCTTACACTGTAGCGTTACATCACTCAAAAACTATGCAATATGGTGACAAACTGCGTACAGGTAGGTAAAAATGATATCAAATGTGAGTTCTCACAAAGCTCACGTTGTAGGCACAGCGCCCACCAAAGGAAATTTGGCATTGCTTTAGGGCATATTCAAATCGCCATAGCTCAAGATCGGTGAAATTGATTTTGACAAAGTAGAAAATGAGATTGTTTGGATCAGCACTTTCGTGACGTCAGGTGATAGCTTATTTTGGGTGATCGTTCACTACAGATTGCCTTAAAATCAGGCCTGTTTATTTAAAAAAGGAAACGAGGCGGTTAAATTTGAGTACATAGTCATTTTCTCAGAATTTTTTTAATTTAAAAACAATATGCAAATATTTCCGGTACTGAAAATGCCATGCACGTTCTTCCGTTGTTTCATTGACTAAATTCGCATTCTTAGGGAAGTCCAGGCTGGCTGCTGTTCATGTAAACGTATCAAATTAAAATAACCCGAAAAACTGCTTTAGGCTCATGAAAATTGTCTTTGACGTTACCATAAGGAAAAGAATAAAATTAGCTTTGGTTGTCATCAAGTACATAATTGTTTGCCTAAAATGTGTTTAATTTAGACCTAAAATAACCTTGAACCGAGCAGTAAGGATGCTGCCATCTATTAAGTTGTCATCAGATGTACACTTAAGGGTCAAATATTGAGTCACAGTTACCCGAGCTGAAATTATTTAAACTACGCACCTGTGGATGGCATATACCCGGGGGTGATTTGCATTCGCTTTCGGGACATGCCAAAAATTGTTTATTGATCGCAATCTTTAATCCGTGCTCGTCACCGAGCTCTCAGAGTGCTCTAGTAAGAAGTGCACATTTTTTTCCAAGTTGGAAAGGTGGCTCGAGAGCAACTGAAAGGCACTTTTATACGCCTCTTTAACTGTCATCTCATCGTCAGTCGACGAGGACTCCCCGGCTTCTTCCAGCCCATTCATTTCCAAGTCGTCCTTTCGCCAGGGTCGGGATTCGAATAAAGGCTTACTAGTGCCACTCTCACGCATAACATCCAGGAACGAAGACGCTCTGTCCATCATTGAGGAGGGAACCCAGACACTAATCTTGTAGGGGGACTTGGACGACGAGCAGAAGCTTGGAGGGCAGCAGGCAGAAGGTGAGTTGACCTTCTGTAGGATCATCCGCGACATCTCACTTTCCTCCCGTGCTTTCTCCTGCTGTTCGCATTTTCTATTGTATTCATTTTCGATTACTTTTGCTGCTGTTTTAAAGTATTCCGAATTGTTGAAATAGATGCAGTGGGATCCCAGCTTAACTTTGATATCATTGGCGTGTTTCCAGGCTAAGCTACCCGTAGCGAGAATAACAGGCGAAGCAAGATTAATGCGATGGAAGTCACCGTTTTGTATTCTATAAATGCTTTCTCGTGTGGCGGCCGATGCGGTATTACGGCCAGCGAAATAACTCCGATTTCTGCGTGGACGATCAGGCATAATAGATTGCCTAGACGGTGAAACCAAGTCCTCCTGAAGATCAAGTTCGTAGAGCCAAGGCAATTTACGATAGTTTGAACACTTTAAAGAGCGATTCGGATATTCCGACTGGCCTTCTGATTCTTCAAAAATAACAGTCTGAACAAATATACATCGGTATTTATTTATAGTTAGCAACTAACATTAAGTATTTCCATACACAAATCCAAAGTTATAATCAAAGCTTTTGGGGAAATAAAGATATTAATTTTCTGCATGCCAAAAGTTTAAGTGCACGAATTAGACTCTTAGTATTATGCAAGCCATACAGTGACAAATAGATAAACTAATACCATATTAATGTTTACGATCACAACTTAATGTATATAAATTCGTAAGGTAAAAAATTCGTGCATAAATTTCCTAAATGAGACATCTTTTCACACATTTGGACAGTGTTGGGTTTGCTTTATCTTGCACACACTGCCGACCGAGTCACCTTTTAATATGGGGTCTGCATCGAGTCATGTTGCTTCTCGCCTATTATCGCCGTCCTAATAATCGGAGTCTGTTCGAGACGCCATCTCTCGGCATCCCCGCTACTTATGCGGACGCGTTTGTGCATGCCCTGCACAAACACGCCAACACACCGTTGAGTTGAGCCATCTAACAAACACTTGCCTCCGTCGTCCCTGGCACTCCAATAATTTCCCAACACCAAGATCCATAACCGTGGCTTCTGCAGCTGATGAGGCCGATGAGATCACTTGGTTCGCTCGGCAGCTCATCAACAGGTGGTGACATCATCGTCCGGCCAAGACAAGTTACGCCACACTTGACTCAACGCAGATCCTCGGCACTTAGCATCACTTCAACGGACTCAGCCACGTTTACGCTTCTGTTCCTATTTCAATGAACTCCAAACACATTTATAACCCTAAGAGGTGCAGCTGTTTATTTACGGCTCTACTCGACCCACTTGCATTTTTCTTACCCCGTCTTATGCTTGTTCAACTGAATCGACTTTTCTGATAGCACGTGGCCATTCAGATCTTTTTAATTATGGCTACTAAACACAGATCCTCGCCATATCTTATGCCGCGTATGAAGCCAAACCAATCCTTAACCAAATCCTGCCTGAACAATTGTAATAGCAATCGGTAAAAGTAGTTTTAGTTGCATACTAGTCTAAAAATTTTTGAAAGAAACTTATACTTATTTAAAGATTACAAGTGACAAAAAAGCCGATTGTTTTGAATCGCAGATTAAAGTGAAATTAGTAGCATTATGGCTAACTTCAGTTCATAAATTGAAACCTACTTGGATCTTTGAAATGGCAGCAAACCAATGATTTATATCCACCAAGGACGTCTCTGGTTTTGTTATGTAAAATAACCATCTTTATTCAAATCATAGCAGACACAAATGGCGATTTCACTCGAGGCAAACTCCCACGCGTATCTCAACCAGTGTAATGTCAGGGACACGAAATTTTACCATCCCAACTTTCTTTAAATATAAAGTGTAGTTATAGGTAATTATGAGTAACGAAAGGCAGAAATCAATAAAAATGTTACAGGTCAAAATGACTCAAATACTACTTAACTGAATGTGTTCCTTGGTTTAAATTAACATAGAGTAAACATTTTGGTTACCTTATAAGCTTCCTCATTTATGTTCAATCTATCAACATTCAGAACGAATTTAGAATTGCCAAGTTCCTGAACAAACGGAGGGATCTCTGCAAATAATGTTTACACGGCGTTTTTATTAACACTCACTAAAAAGTGACATTTTTCGTTGGTTTATAGCTCTGGCCAGCCGTACCTCCTTAAGGGAATTCCACGTGTAGGTATCGATTAGCCAAAAAGCAACGTAAACCCATATATTCAAAAGCCTGTGTACGAGGGTAACATGCAGCGGCCTAGCCCAGACTAGGCAACCTAATTCCATAAGAGGACCTTTAACTTTTTCAAGACTAGCGCCACAACCACGCACCTTCAGACGTTTAACAGAATTACACAGGAAGTTGCAGTGTATATACAGCAATTTTAACAATTTGTTTGGAAGGCTTCTAGCAAGCATTGGACAAGCACACAAGTGTCATTTTTAGTACTTTTTAGTCGTGTAACGTGGTTATTTCGAAGTTGTGTCTGAAGGTAACTGTACCTCCCACGTACCGTACGAAACAAGATAAACACCGATTATGCTATTAAGCGAATCCCACTTTAAGGGTTACTTGTTTAAGAACCAGATTGGCCTGCGTTGCGCTATTGAAATTCGAGTATAATAACAACAGTTTCTCAGCAAATACTTCTTTAATACCGAAAGTAGAACTGGTACAAATTTGGTTTCATTTTTTAAAAACTCCAGAGGTGTCCATTTATGAAGTAACTGCTCTGGAACTCCGTGATGTTTCTTCTGAACCTCAATTTTGCAGTCCAACCACGTCCTCTCAATTGGCTAAGCTCACTCACTGTGTTCGGATCAGCATAACTTTCCTCGTGATTTACGGCATTTTGATCGTATTCAGTCTGATTAGGTATCCGATAAGCTGGCCATTTGATGGGCATGCTGAAAAAGGAACCGAGCTGAAGATAGTAATAATGCCACTGAAGCACCAAAATACTTGCCAATTTATTATTATCTCGTCGTGACAAAACGTACACTTTATTCAATATTCCAGCCGCTCTTTGATTCGTTTAATTATTGTTCGAATTTTCGCTTACCTAACTTAGGCGGTATCAAAAAGACAGGAGTACAAAAAAACTGTTTTCATTTCCTTCGTCTGTGAACCCAAAAATACTGTTGTTAAAAGGATATATTCTAGTTGTCAGTCGCTGTCTTACATTTCCAGGAAGCATGAAAACGAAAAGTCGAATCGTTGTTACGCTGGGTTACATGAGTTTGAGGAAGAGTGAGCGTTGAAACTGAGTCAAAAAATATCCAAAATGCATATTTGGATTGTGATCCTGCTCTTTGGATAGGTACAAAGTGGCTTTGTCGATTTTAAAGTGATGAAATAAATTCTAAAAGATAAACTTCGCATTGGGAGATTTCCCGATATTGATAATGACTACCTGTAATTTAGCAATGAAGTTGTCCAGGAATTAGAACCGAAAAGATTGTTGAGGGGCTAAATGTTTACAATTCGACTGCATTTCGCCATTTGAAGCATCCTGGATGCACTTCGGAAATCTATGTTTGGGTCTTACATGTTTTATATGAACAAAAAAAATCAGAATCTTTTTCCCACAGATGTTTCTCTCCTTGCCTGTCAACAAACTGAGTCCTTCTTAAATAAACTTATAATTGAAAATGAAAAATGGCTTATGTAAGCCGACATAATAAGAACAAGCCGCTGGAAACATGAAACCGAAGGAGCGTGTTGTGGAACCCAGCATGTGGTCTTGTGGGCCACTGAATTAACCCTGGCCCGATTACGCTTCCCTGATACCCGCGGTGAAGAAAAAGACCGGAGAGGACGTGGACACAGCCGTTTACTTCAGAGATCAACCACGCTGGTGTCGTCGTGTTGTGTGTGTATTTATACCTCAGATGTGTGAGTCAAACATGCACTAACATCGAGAACTAGGTGTGAGGATAATCCAGGATGTTTGTGCTAATGAGAGGGGAGTTGAGGATCCGCGCGGTTGGCGACATGTTGCAAAATGAGGGACCTTGTGTCGGAGGCTGGAGTGATCGGATTAGCTAGTGTGAATCAACGCGATTCACAACAAGTGGAAGTTATGACGAAGGCTGAATCGCATTCATTGAAATTGTTATTGCTTGTCTGGTGAGCATATCTTTGTCCGAGGTTCAGATTTCCATATCTTTCGTTCTCTGCAAAATACTGTGACAAAAAATTTGATTCTGTGGAGGAATATAGGAGAACTTCCTTCGTATTTTCCTTGAAGAAGAATTATGGAGTTTTTCTCGAGAAAGGAAATCAAGAACGTGCAAAGTGTTAGGAGATAGCTCTAGGAAATTATGGAGAGCACATTGCTGAATAAAAAAATACAACCTTTCACATAAAATGTTGTGTATTCTAACCCTGGGGTTTTTCATTGCATCAATCGTTGTGTCCTTGCAGTAAGTTCAAAAGAACGTCGAAAAAGAATAGGGTTTTGGTTTGAGGATACAAGAATAGACAACTAGACAGAGACAGCGAGGTCTTCCAGATAGTTAATGTGTCAGCTATATTTTCGGTCAAAATTTTTGATTTGAAAGTGCAAGTGAGACTCGACTAAAAAAACGGTCAGTGTAAATGAAATAGGGATCGAACTTAGAAGTCAAAACTGACAAAATTAATTGCTGTTAAAAGTATTTCCTGACTTCAACTCTGGCAAACGGATTAATCAGTTTGATTTAGAGGACACAGTGGGTATTTAGGCAGAACTGACAAATTAAAGGATTATATTTCGTCTCGATATTTCATGAAGCGATTGTTTACTACGTGATGAAGGTAGTTTACAGACCGGAGCTCGTCAGTAATTGACTTGATTGCCCTGAGTATCCCTCATTCAGCTCGGCGGGTGTAATAAGAATTAAACATGCACATAACATTAGAAGCTGTCTTAACAAGATTACGGATATGACTTTTAGTGTAAAACATTGCACCACATGTAGTACTCAGGAACTGGCAAGTTTTACCTGCAACTCCGATGGGGCAAGTTGATCGAACTTCCCAAAGAATCACCCTACTGCGTATAGAAGTCACTGTCTGGAATTCGCGCCTTCTTTTTCGGATTCAATTGCGCTTTGTGTTCCCATGAAAACATTTGTAAAAACGCAGACATGAAACAACAAACCAATGTGGCAGACGGGCACCATGCGATGGGAGCGTCAGATGTCTTTTGGAATATCTGAGGCAAATATTTCCATAATGGTTCGAGATATTGCGACTTCACCAACCCATTGCTAAAACAGAAAATTGGAAAAACCAAATCATGGGGACATCAACAAGATTCCCCAACTTTCCCTACAACCATGTCCGCCGAAATCAAGAGGAACAGTCGTCAGCTAAGAGATGCAAAAATAACTCAAGTTTTGGGCTAGTGTAACTGTGAGCAATCAATAAACAGGGGTTCTCGAAAGTCTGTCTTGGCACAACGCATTATGAGTGGCCTTGAACCAGTTTGGGCTGTCACTTGGACGGCAGAGTAAGGCTTAGGGACATCACATCGGAGGTTGCGTACGTGTGCACACATCACCTTCTGTTAAAGCCTGCATGTTTCGTGACCTCAACTCACACCACACTCCTGGTCATTCAGCTAGCCGTTAATTTGTACACCCGATGCCCGCTGATTGAAAAAAAAACAACCGACTGACAAATTCATTGTTCACGCAAGGTACCGATAAGTGCTCGAAGTTACAAACTGTTTGACCAGTCTAGTGAATGGCCGAGTCTCCACCGCCTCTAGTTTTCGATGGGTTCGCGTCTTACATCAAAGCATAGAAGTTGTAGCAGTTTAATTGTTTGTTTAAATGTCAAATTTTGGGAGACATGGATACCAAGGCTATATTGTGGTTGCATCGTCGGTACATACATTGTGATACCCACATAGATGTGTGAGTCTCGGGTCAACATCACCATCAACCAATGGTTACAGGTCAGTCGCTAATGTGTGCAGTGGACCGTCAGCACACGTGCATGAGTGAAGGTCTGTCTGAAAAGTTTTACCCCAAATTGCTTGGCATTGGTGACTCACCCATCCCTTTCATTGCACTCCGTTGGCAAGCCCCCTACAGACATGCTCATGCAAACATGCACAATGGCACATCACTTAGCCTTTTCGCCACGTTTCCGCCATCATTTGTTCTTGACTTCTTTGGGTATCAGCGAAAAAGAGGATTTTAATGTAGTTTACCACGGTTACAAGTCTGTGTTCTAAAAGTTCGCCTGCCAAAATTGCAGTAATAACCATCTACTCTCCATCAGACCTCCTGGTTATTTTAATCTATTTCCCTTAATTCCTCACTATGCAAACGTCCTGTGTGAATATTACGAGAGGCATAAGTACCGTAAATTTCTGGGCCTGTTTTATCATTATTTTGGAAAAAAGAGACCATGCTACTTGGAATGGCTGCTATTCGCTAGCAAGAATTTGTTCCTATGGAACTTCAGAAATGTGTAGGGTAGCTTGACTTTAACAACTCATGAATAAATCCTCATGCAATTGATTTTGGCAAATTGCTGTGTTTTCTTCAAGTTTTTTAGCTGCAGAACACAAGCGATTGCAGCTGCAGTTCGTGGTCAATAATAGATTGCATCTTTTCACAAACCCACAACATCTCACTTTTGCATTCTGGTGCCTCAATTCTTACCACGGGGTTGTAGGCGAAAAATCGTAGTTGCAGCTATGTGGGCATGGTGTCCATGGCAAGCGCAATAATTATTTGGTTTACGTCATGCAAACAACCGATCAAGTTGACAAAACTGCTCAGGTTGGAGTGCGGACCTCGATTTCATGTGCAGTTGATTTTACCTGAAACGAAAGATTTCATGAAGGAAATTCAACAGTCCAGAATTTTTCAGTACGATCAGGGCTAAGCTCTTCAGAAGGCGCTTAACATGGTCCAAATCATCCTCTACAAATTAACACCGACACGAAACTGGAGGTGGGTACTACGATCACTAGCTCAAGGTCTTTTTTACAAGTAACGTTTCAAGGTTTGTGATGTATTTTTAGGCAAAATATTCTTGCCTCGACATGCCTCGGCTTTAATTTTGATGGACTGACATAGGTAATCCATTCTTTTAAATTTCCGTCATTTTTCAACCACTACCAATTCATTTCACCATGTCTTAGTAACTATTAATTTCCAAAATATATATGGGGCACAAATTGCTACACTCCGCAACCCTCATATAGATCGTCTCAATTACGAAAGCACCTCTAATCAACATAAACTCGACTGACCCCCAACTCAACTGACTTACAATCTTACTCTTCTCACAGACACGCAACCAAAGTTGTAGAAAGTTGGAGAAACTAGAAGTTCATGTTATTATGGGATCTCGTGAATATTTAACATGCACAAAAGTACTCAAGGCTGACGGGAAACACCAGAATACCAAGTTATAATTAGTCAAAGTAATCCGAAATGTCGATATTAGGATCAAGGAGGTGTTCTCCGAACGACGACAGGTCTAGTTGATTAAGGATGACATTCTCAAAGGTCTCCTCCAAATCTGTTTCGCCTATCAGGAGAGCCCCTTGCATTCGTCCATTCAGCATGATACATTTCACGTACTCCTGGCCCGGTGTGATGCGCAGTAGGACCGTAACGTCAGGGGACGTTAGATCCAATCCTTGACCGTTAAAAGCGCCCAGAAGAACTACCTAAAAGGCGGAGAAATGAAGACGATAGCTGACATGCATGCTTGTGGGGAGTCCCAAAAGAAATCTACAGGGCTTCGAAGGAAGAAGAATCAGCACACTTTTGCGTACACAAGAGCAAGGAAAAGCCGAGTGCTTGTGACTTACAAAGCCACGAAATCGACTGGTGAAAGCCTAAATTAGTGGTAAAATAAGCTTGAAAGCATAGCTTTACTACGTGTTACTAACTTGGTTTCTGCATTGTTGCCTTAACTGCAACAACGGCAACGATAGAGAACAGGAAAGATAACCGTACATTTACCATTGGTTTAAAATAATCAACGAAAGGATGGAAGTAACGAGATTTCTTGACCGACATTCACACCATTAGAAAACCTACTATTTAATGTGCTGAACTGTAGGTAACACAACACAATCATAAACTGGTTGCCAATAATATGCAAAGAGCTGTGATACACACTTAATCATGGCTTTGTGTTGTTATAGCAAAATTTAGATCAAGGGAAAACTAACCAAATGCTAAATTACCAGCCGCAATTAAGACACTGAAAATGAATTTGTGATTCGATTAAAATTCTGTAATATACATGACTATTTCATGAGGAGTTTTGAATCTCCTAAGAATGAACTACAAAAATCGGGGGTATACAACTTGAGGGTACAAACCATCGAAATCCACTGGGTTTTACGCATAACTGAGCCATGGATACAAAATGATACTGCAAGGATCCAATTTCAAAAAGTTTGATCCATGCAGTAATTGCCAACCTAATACTGGCCACTGAAAGCAGAACGAGTATAATGGCACCATCATACAGTCATTTCAAAAGGAGTAGCTTCGGTACCTATTTTTTGGAAAGTTTTCCAGGATTCCATTCACCTCTTAAAGATCCACCGTCATAGAATGTAACCCGTAGGCAACTTCGAACACGTAGACGTCCGTTTCATCACATGAGCGTCAACACAATTGATACGACACCAGTACTTTGGAGTTATCGATATTTCATCGTCTGCGCAGACAGGTACAATAATTGGCCTTGCGTTTTGACGGCGTTGAATTAGACAACTAGTTTAAGACCCTGGTCTACAGATTTACCAATTGAGGTACGAAGGAGCAAGTAGGAGGTGAGTGATGGTAGTTCGTTTTGTGTTCAGGGCGGTTATATCTGGCGGGCGGGGGACTATCCAGATGGCAATTGTGGTGGGATAAACCCGTTCAGGCTAACCTCTACACCCTTGTCTGACAGCACGATGGAAATGATTGTAGTGACTCTGTTGAATCACGTCCAATAACCCGGTCGTCGCAGCCTCACATACACGCCCCCCTTTTCACGGCGCGGCCGTCAGTCACTAGGACCGCCTGCTCATTCACCCCTCTGTGTGTACCACCACCACCCGCTCCAGTCATGTGACCACTCACACGTCTGTATTTTCACTAGTCCACTCAACTGTATCAGTCAGTAAAAACAATCTCGCTGATCTGTCTAGTTAGTAGACGGTTGGGCCCAGTCCTCTTCGATCTCCTTAATCTTCGCGGGTGCTCAGGGTAGCGTAATGAAGATACTTCGACGCAGCGGCCCCGGCGTGGCTTAAGCCAAAATGCCCACAACATAGTCGCCTGGGCGGAAAGTTGACGGGGCGGTTTGGTGGCCCAATTTGTGCACAACAGATCGCGGGCTCCAGATGTAATTAGTAGCCTATAACAAGCCACTTTGTTATCCGAGTTGTGTTGACTTGAGAAGAGAGATCTACATGCCGGCAACCTACCCCTAAATTACATCCTGTTATGCCGGGGAGAAAGGTCTTATCCAGTGTTTGCATGATATTTGTATACATAGTTCAACTCCCATATTCGAATTCCATTTCCGACTAGTTTTTTCCAAAAAAAGATTTTTTTATTTCGTCTTGCACAGACTCGCCGTAAAGTCAGCGCGAAAGTTAAATTAGTTGTTTAAATGTCATCGTGGTTTAAAAAGATAATGAAAGGATATATTTGATCAACACCAACACTACGTAAGGTGCCCCATACATTTCGTCAAGGCCAGGCCCATCGACGACAAACAGAGGTGCCCAAGATGTCTACTTTCATGATTTAAAGCACTTTAGTTCCATCTGTTTCTGTTCAACCGGCATTTTCGGCGCGTCAGGTAATAGTTAAAAGAGCGTTCTGCCTAAAGGCAATGGCGAATGTTGGCTTTTTTCTGTTCCATGTAGCATAAATGGTTATTAGAGAACTTGGATCTTAAGGTCATGAATTTGAGACCTTGCCTTCTAAGGGGCACCTTCACTACAGCTCTACATGCAGTCAAAATGCGAAACTGGGGGCAGCATACCTTGAAACCGAAGAAGTGTGTCATGTGCGCAAATATCTCGAAGGAGAAATCCAGGGGGACTTCCTCACCCATGGTATGATAGAACATGCTTTTGGCCGCCTGAAACGCCGTCTGACGAGCCTGGGACCACAGGCGCATTTGAAACCAGTGCGGGGACTTGGGGTGCCAACCGGCATAGGCACAGTCACCGGCCGCATAAACCTCGGGCACGGAGCACTGCATCAGCGCGTTGACAACCAGCCCACCTCCCTCGGAGGCCGAGGCCGTCTTGATGTCCTGGTCTGCCTCGATCAGAGGGGTGCAAGACGTAGACGTGAGATTGGCGTCAACTCCCGTCGCACTAATAATAAAGTCCGCCCCGTAGCACTCGCCATTGGTCAAGCGGACATACAGAGGCCAATTTGAAGGTGCAAAGGAAGGCAAGAGGGGACCCTCTTCGTCGGCCTCGACTGAAGTTTCACCGGAATCAGCAAACTCCGAGGGGGAAAGAATTCGGTCGACTTGGCACTGGTAGACGACCTACAAGGCCAAGAGAGGCCAGTTAGCGTCACGTGTGTTATGGTGGTGGAAGGTTGAAACGAAATATTGCGTGAGTCCTACCATCAGGGTTCTACTTTAACACGGATCCCACCCTAATGGGTAATAGTTAAAAATCAGGTCCATATGGATTGTGATCATCAGACTCGTCTGCATTGCATTAATTAAATCTGAATTTAATAACGGCAATTTATTTAAAACATAGCGTAGAATCGCTAAGGAGTGGTCTTCATTTCCTTTTACAACACGTCAGCGGTGTTAATCACTGAAGTGCCCCTGAAGTAAATGCTGTGGAACTGTGCAAGGTTTATTCCTTCGAAACCTCAGTCTTCCTGTCTAACTGTTTGGAGGAGAAACCATTAGCGGCAACTTAGTTATTTGACATTTTGCGAAATTTGAAGACAAAAGGTAGAGACTAATAGCCTCGAAACGTCGATCCTGGTGATTTATTGTATTACAATAAAACTCCATCCCAGTCGACACGGAGCACACTTGAAGTTAGCCGAATAATCAGAGAGCCCTTGAAAACGTAGACACACTAAATAGTACAACCCGTTACCCCACAAAGATTTTCTGTAAAGCAAAATTTGTAGCAAGGAATAAAAATAGAAGTAGAAGCGTCAGCAGTCTCCCTCCTTCAAATAAACAGGGTTATACTGCTATGCTTGACGAGCTTTTAGCAGGTAACACGCTAACTAAAAATTATTCCCACTCTCAATAAGATTTCAACCGATTCGGAAACAGATTAAAAAAAAAACATGATGGCCACCTTAAGTTGCCGCGTGAGCGACCCCTCCTCGATGATGCCGGTGAAGCGTAATCCTTGAGTCCAATCCGGTCCGAGAGCAGAGCCGATCAGTTTTTCCCCGTCCTCACCCTTAAGAGAGACCAGTCGGTAATTTTGGCTCTCACTATTCCGGTCGGCGAGTGTATAACGCAAGGTCTGGATCAGTGGAGCCGTTTTAGCATTACGGTCGCCCCCTGACCCCAGTGCTGCCTTTGACTTTTCTGATCTGCTTCGCAGGAGAAACTGGGAGGCAGCGGCATCGAGGAAGGGCACTGAAATGTTCTCGTGCTTCACCACCCATATAACCTGACAGCCTTCGATTTCGTAGGCCACCTCCGTAGCTATACCCCCGTTGCCGACAAGTACAACACGGCGTGCATCTTTTAGGGTAAAAAATACACAAAAATTCATCAAGGCCACATATTGTGGGACTCCAAAACGAAACGTTGGGTAGTGTGGTTGTGGTAATTTTCCTCTTACCAGAGGTAGTTATAATAGGAAAACACAATATCTCACGCGAAAATTCTATTAGAAACCACAAACTAACACGGCGCTATTATCATTAAGTGGTGTGATAAATTGTGATCCATAAAACTTTTAACCAAACTTTTTGTTTTACACAAACGAGGAACCGAAAAACAAACACATGAAGAGATGTGAATACGATTTCATCGATTGTATTCTGTTTACAAAGTGTACAAGCAGGTCTTACGAACGAGTTCTAATTCTCACAGCGATGAAAAGTAAGCGGGTAGAAGGGTTTATTTCGGATGGCACTCCATCGGTCAGAAATCAAGAGGGTTCATCTACGCTGGACTTTGGATGGCTGTCACAGAACAAGTACTTGAATTATGTCACTTGACATTGCTCTCAACTTATATACTGGACTGTAAATTCGATGCAAAATTTCTCAGCACAGTAGTCGTATCAAAAACGAACAGCAAAGAAATATAAACGTGCCATTTCATTTAGAGGTCTTTTGATGCCACAAAACGTGGAACATGATGCCAAATTAACTTCGACGCACTTGTAAACATGATGTACGACACTGTCCTACAGACAGAGGAGACTTGACGCTTAGCCGGAGTCATCGATATGATAAAAAAAAACAAAATTCTACGACCCATGCAAACAAAACGAATAAATGAGTGAAAAGGTGTGCCCTGACAAGAACGGGGAAATCGTCAGACAATGTGAAAACGGGGGGGAGGGTGCATGTGTGGGTGTGAACACGCCACCACCACCACCCCCCCCCCCATTTTACCATGAAACGGCGGATCCATTCACACGAGAGAATCATGAAATTACTCGGGTTATATGTGAGTTGCTTAGATGTCGGATGGTAAGACTGCTTGCAACAAAATAAGTACAGCAGAAGACTGAAGTCAACATTAAAAATTAATTTATTTGCCAAAATGCCTAGTGAGTTATCAGTAGAGAGAAGGCTGGTCATGCCAGAACATCTGGCTTCATTGACTTGCAAGGTAATTGAACTTCAATTCACCACTGTGCAGCCGTTAGCGTGTAAAGCCAGAGCATTTATAGCTGTGACACGAGAAATAACGACAGACTAGATTTTGACTTTCACGAAAGGAAAGTGCAACTACCATTCTTTTCTTGCTTGGTGCCGTGCTCAGTGCGAAGGAAGAGTGCTGTGTACGAATAGATATCACTCAAAAGTGACCGTATAAATGCATTAGTTTTTGGTTGATGGTAACATCGACAACATCGTGTGCAGCACTAACGAGCATGTTATTGGGGCCATCCTCAAAAGGCAAAGTAAAAGTTCTGTCGGCTAGCATTAAACTCACACAATTTAAAAATTTCCTTCGTTTATTGGTAATAGCTGTAATAATAATTACGATTTAGTTAGATCTGGATCACCCTACATAGGATCTATTGTGTTGCGAGTTTACGTTTGAGAAAAATGCTATATCAACGGAGTCAGACCTGTGTGGTAAACACGACAGCAAAGTATGTCGGCTAACCAAACATTAGTTACATTCTGCGAATTCGCACACGACATCTATGGCCAGAGCTTTTAGTTGCATGTTCGAGTTTGGTTACTCCCATTAAATGCCTCTACAATCCCCTAGAGGACTGACATCCCACAAATGCAGTCACACATTACCATGATTGGGGAATCAGACTTTACCTTCAAAAACCGAGAAAAGAAAGCCAGAAGTGTAATTTCCGCATAGATCAAAACCTATGGCTACTGCCATGCTGGTGTTGGTCGTTAGCATAAGCCACCATTGAAAAATGGCTACGAGACAGAGATAAATTGCATATAACAGACAAGGGTGGATGGAGACGAGTCATCCACTACAGCCTAACGGAAATACAGCGTACACTGCATAGCGCTTCAAAAGACTACACTTTGCACGTGATAATCAGATCGAGGGTTCGCCTTGAATGTAAGCAAGGGAAATAGACAACTCGTTAACGAAATATCATTTTTACCATATACCGGGACATCCATTAGTGATTCGCTATTCTTAAAAATTGCTACGATTAACAAATAAACAGAAATTACACGGGTGCCTGATTGCTTGCATTGAGCGAGAGATAGGACCCAGTTTACACCACGCTTGGGACCAATCTTCACAGGGTATCTCCACTGTGTCAAAACTCTCGGGGATAAAATTGGCAGGACGCACACTGACTGTCAAACCGTTAAATTACAAAGATATTCCAGGAATAAAACAGAGCCGTTCGCCGTCAGTTTTCATTAATAAATGTAAAAACAGTGATGTTTTAGTGTGAAATGCATTGAAATGATGATTGCTGTTTTCTATGAGGTACAAGTAGCCTGCACCTGCTAGTATTAGGTAAAGAATGCTTTAGACGCTTCACTGCAATACTCGCATGCCTTCCGCACGGTTGGTGGCATCGTGTTAAGAGAGGCAAGGCTGCTTTACCTGAAAGCCGAGATCGAAATTGAACAATTGACTCAGTATCACGGAGGGTTAAGACGAGAGGGTGTTCCGGACAAATTGCCCGAGGCAAACCGCCCGTTGCAATGCAAATACGACCATATTTCACGGGGCGGTCCTTTCGATGCAGCAAGTACACTAAGCGATCTTCAGAGCTGAAATTGTTGAAACAATTGGTAAAACTTCGTTCGCGAAACTTTCGGGGTACGAAAACATCGATTTGGTCAACATAACCGACAGGGTAACTGCGTGTCAAGCATACTCAAATTACAGTTACGGCTTTAAAGCTTTCCTTCCAAACTTAATTGGACAGAGCTTAACAATCACACTGCATTTAAGAAAGTGGACTATGCACAAAACTTCACGACTTGATTGTTTTGTTCTAAAGGAACCAACTACCTCTGCTCGACAGCGAGGCCTCGGAAAGGATCAAACGCTATAACTGGTTGCCACTGGTCGTAAACCAAGGAAATTAGGGCGAAATTACGGGAGCATAATATACAGCAAGCAATTACTTATGGCTATCCGTTTGGTGTAAACTTATTGGCCAAATTAATAGTCTATAAGGAAAATACTTTCCGACTGATACAGCTGCAAAAAAAACCCACTCATTTATGACATAGTCAATTATGGAATATAGTCAAGATTTTGAGTTTACTTCACTCTATCCACTTTATCAATTATAACGGTCAAGATGTTGGACCACGCTCGGGACCAGTCTTCACAGGGCTTCTCCACTACGTCGAAGCTCTCGAGCATGCGAGTGACGTGGCGCACATTGACTGCCGTCTTGAGGGTGGGTGTAGTTGAAATGAAGCAAACGCGGAGCTGGGGAGAGGCGCCACCTGGGGGGTGGTTTGCCACAGGCAGATTGTATGGGGACGGAGCGATCAACTCACAAAGGGTTTGCGTGCATACAACACCGGCAATTCCGCCTCCGATGACAACAAAATCAAAGAATTCGGCCTACAAAGTAGCAGAGATATTATAGGATTCAGGTAAGGCAAACGCGGTATACGTTAGGAATAAGCAATGATCAACGTAAGACCACGCAAAATGAGTGTCAAACACAAATCTAAAACAAAAACGACAATTGTCAGTTTGCATTCTTGTCACCTGCCAACATCTGCGATTAAGCCTCGATAACCCACCAATGAATCGATTTCCAACAAAAGGCACATTTTAGTATCCTCCAATTTAGTCGTAGTCGAAAGAGTAAGAATACCAAAACAGATGTTAGCAATCATTCCGATGCTAACGGTGCCCATCGATAACGGACCACCTATGGTAATCAAGTAGGTTTCTCTGCAGCAACACAGAACCTAAAATGATCATTATTTCTATGCCAATAGAAAAAAAATAAAAGCACGCTCCAGCAAGTCAGGATAACAGGGTAATGTGTCGCCGATGCATGGCTGGTCGGGAAGATTTACCTATGACCTGCTAGTAGAGAAGAGTAGGTTGTGGTAGTGTGTAAAACGACAGGTTTCGTCCTACCTAAAAAAGAGCTTATTTTTTCATTTCACTGCTCCTCAAGCCATATAAAGATATTTGGACTTTTTCGTTTCTAACGACATGATACAGCGAGAAAAATACGGAATGACATAGATATCATCAAGCCAAAGGCTATTTCCATCAGAAGTGCGGAATCAGTTACAAAACAGGCAATTTCTTGATGAAACCGACGTTTTTTAAGAACTCGAATTTCATGCTTTGATTTCACTGTTGCCATTGAAAAAAATAATTGGGACCAACCCCTCCATCATTCAGTTTGGTAATTTCGTAGATAACACCTTAAACAAGAGTTTCTCTGAGATCGACAGAACAGATTTTACATAACCGGCAGAATAACAGTCAACAATTGTTTTCATTGCGGAAGGATGTCCGATCACTTGACTAAACTTTGATTATTGAAAATCTGATCCTAAAGAGATCCTTAAAGGATGAAAATCATGCTCCTGCCTTCGAATGTCACGCAGTGGATTGCCGACAACGAACAGAAGACATGAAGACACTCCGTGTAGGTTTCAGTTCGTCTGTTGGGAAATCAGCATTCCCCAAAACGAGCCAGTTCAAATAATCGAGGGAGATAAAAAGACTCCTCATTCGACGTGTTGGTTCATTAGGCCTTGGAATTTTGTGTGGTTTTTTCAATATAAACAACAGCAATGCCGGAGATACAAGATCGTGGAGCACAAGGTTAGGTACTGTCAGTTACTCCCATCTAAGAGCATGCGGCGCCCCGCAACCAGGACAAGCCAAAGCCCGAACCAGTCGGCCCAGCCATCACCTCGCTCAGTGTACGAGCCACCTTTCAGGACAATGCGGAGGAAGTATATTGCCATCCTGATCAACGGCCATCCAGTAGGTCTACAGTTAAATACGTCCTCAGACGTAATCATAATCCTAGAGGAATAATAACTTTCATGGTCGACCGCTGGTTCTACTTACCTCCAAAACGGCCATCAGCGCCTACAGTAGAGAATACGATTCCTAGAATAAATACAATGCCGTCTTTTTCCATGACACATTCTTCAGTGGTTGATGCACTTAGCCAATCCCAAACTGAACCTCTTATGTCACGATTGACTCAAATGACTGAACTTAACTGATACCCCAATCAACTCCATTTGGAAAGACCCGTGGTCTCCATATGCACCATCGGCACCAAACCCATTACCAAAGAGGATGCCTTCATCCCTCAGTTAAGTAAGCAGGCTGAACGATTCGTCAATACATCAAAACGGACCACGCCCGGGGACATCAGTCGACATGCCGCAATTTTTTGTTGATTTACTGCACAGCACCAAATGAAGCTCTCTTGAATAGAGAATCGCCGCCCGAGACGCTCAAGGGTTGCAAGTTGCAGAAGACAAATTCCACCACGTCTCTGGTACAGTCCGAGCGTCTTGAGCCTCCACGAATGGAATCTGATGCCTGCTTGACGTGGAAACATCCATGTACGCTCGGGACTACCGAAAATGACGTGACCAATGAATCGAAGGAACGATTGCTGGTTGAAACGAAAAGGTCACGTCAGATATGGAGGTAGATTATGACACACGGATGGGACATCAAGACCAACTCAGCCAAAGGCACCGATTCGGAAGACAGGCATTTCGCTGAGCTTGCTGTTCGACACTTAACTGCCGACAGGAATGGTAGAAGCCTCACTAGAACAACACGGACCAAATGGCAGTGGGCCGGCCTACGACTCCAAGACGGAGTAGTCAAAGATGACGGCAGCGGACACTACTACATATCAGAAGAGGAAGGGCTAGGAAGTCTTCAAAGTGGAGAGGTGATGGGAGAGCCAGCATCCCCTGGGACAAGTTCCCCCATGAAATTAAGATTGGTAACTGTTCTACTCATATCTTTCTTGCTCCACATAAATGTAGCAACAGCACTTCAATGGTTGCCTTATGTATACTTGCACTACTTCAACTTCACACTCACAGCTCCTGACAGCGCCAATCTCTCTTAATCCACCGAACCAAATTCACACAAGGTATGAGGCATCCACTTTGGAGTGTCCATTGGGCTCTACTGAAGCAGTAAAAATTCATCACGAGATCTTTGGCCTGGCACTTGGAAGACGGGACTTGCGTTGGGCAAAACAGTTGCGTATTGTTTCCCTGGGCATGAGTTTGGCTAGTGACAAAACGCAGCTAGATTCGTAGACACTAAAACGGCGCACGATATCCCAGTACGCAAGGGTAGCTTTTGGTAACAAATTGTAGCACCACAGCGGACTAAAATTTCGGCCCGGCCTACTTATTTATCAGGTAAATTGCAATTGCTTTGTTTGATCAGATTGGACTCTACAGCTAATGGATGAGACACATACCAACGGCTTCAGCTATTTAACCGGTAGCTGAGGTACCACCTTAACTTCACTGGACATGTATCGCAAACATAGTAGCATGGCAAAGCGAGCGTGGCAACTAAAGTACTTCTAGCTCCATAAGTATTAAACAATTTGATTGGCCTGAGGAGTGTATTAGCTAAACCCAGCAGCACCCTTTAAGTCGATAAAGACAGAGTATCTAGGAGCATTTTAATGGTGTTTTAAGGGTCCTGTGAGTTGGCGGTGAATATTTCAGCAAACATAAAAAACCACAACTAGAATAATATGACATGTATTGAAAAAAAAGAAACCACTAGTTACAATGAGCAAGTCTATACCAATAAAATCAATCATGCAGAGGACATAAAAACAACATCCTGAGATTGTTAGTGATTGGGACTGTTTGGAAAGGATGATGCATGAGGTTGTGGGGAACATGTGCCCTTCTCCAATTCTGACATCCACCTATCAAGAGAGTCTACCATCTTCGAAGCATGCTGATACTTAAAGGATATCAGGGTTCTATAGAAGAAGATGGCAAATAACACAAAGACGAGAACCACAGGACCGACAATGAGGAAGCAGACACCTGCCGACCACTTTGAGATATTCCAGAATTTAACCCAGCACGCCAGTACAACAACGACGAGAAAGAGCAGCATGCCGAGGGCAGTACTAAAGATCCAGGCCATTTCAATATATCTGTAAGATGGAAACATGTACAACTACAGATTCCTTTTACACGAGAATGAATCCACCTTTACTATAAAATGACGACCCAACGACAGTTGTTTAACTATGCTACACTGTAGTAATAATACCGAGATCACGGTGTTGACTTAATAAACGGGGTTCTTCCAGGTTGTAAGAACATATTACTGCGAGTTTCCCCGACAATTTAAGTTGAGCCGAAACAAATCAAATATTTGAGTTAAAAGAAAATGGTGGCATTACACAAATATGCTCTAACACACAAACACAAGCACAGGTCACTTTGAAACAGCAGCTCTGTGAGTTCGAAAGTCAAGCACAAGGCACCAAAACTAAAAGAACAGATTACACATTCGTCCACACTCTTGATGAAGCATCCTGCATGGAATTTACCCATTATTGGCCAAGAACGAACGCTATTTAGGTGCTGAATCACACTCTAGTGAAAATACGGAATAACACAACTAAGTATCAATATAAACCGAAAATCGCCTTGCTGATTATTAAGTAGGAAATTTGATATAACGTATGTTGCAACTGTCGCGCAGGCGAAAATCACAGCATCTCATTTACTACCTCCATGGGCATTGTTAAGGAAAGTTCCAAAAATCTCCCGAGTGCACTACGGGTCAAAATGAATTTCCTCAATGACACTAAATAAAATTGTGTGGAAAACCTTCCACCGAGTTCGGTTTGTACACTTTCTTCTACCACTACACGGAGTTCCGATAACTTCAATCATTAATTAACTGTTCGAATGATTATGATAATAGTAAGTAGAAGATCGATTCTCACAAACTCACCCACGAACCTTCTCATAAGGGGAATCGACGCCTCCGTCCGAATTCTCACACATACTGATGTAACACTCGAGTTGCGGAAGTATACAAGTACTTATCATTAGGGCTGTGATGTGGACCACGACCAAGAGTGATGCGAACGCCGTAAAAACCACCAAAAGAGCTTCCGGGACGCGATTATCCTCGTCATTTTCTATCTGAAATAAAACGCGCGTCTACTGAAACCAAAGCCAATACACATAATAGACTGATAGTAATGGGCTTATTGGGTTGGCGTCGACATAGGTTGTTAAAGGGGAATCTCTGATCATCAGATTTACGAATTAGCTGTACTGATTCTTGTAACTATATGAACTGACGTAGAGAAGATGTATCGGTGTAAGATATTTGATCAGCCTACGGATATCGATCAAAATTTACCTTTGAATTTTAAATACAACCATTGAATAAAGAAAGGCATTACTGTAAGTTCAATCATAGCCATCATAGCAAAGCCAGAGAGAAGAGCACTGGCCCGACTAGAAGCTTTGAGTTTAGCACGGCTGAGGTGGAGTTTTCGGAGAGAGGTACGATTTACGGAACGGCGTCCTTCCGTCAGTGGCAACTGCTCAGCCCATGGGAAATTGTCGTCCTCGGCACTCTCCGTGGCCGGCATTTAATGTCAGTGGTATTGGCACCTACAAAAAAGAAAATTAAATTGCAAACTTGAATCTCCGATTCTCGAACAGTAGTGACACCTCAAAGTAAGCCGTTACTTCTGTACAGCTTCAATTCAGAATATATGCAGTCTTTCAAGTTCTCCCACAAAATCAGTTGTGTTCGAAAACTCTAGTGCACTAAGATTATTTGAGTAATAGTGGCGTTGGTAAGGAAAGAAAATCACCACACTATTAAGGTTAGCATAACGATATGATTATAGATTGAAAATTAATTGATGATTACCACTGCATGTGATGAGGCTTGAACAACCACATTATATTTATCGTTGTAAGTATAGACATTTAATCAAATAATTATGTCAATACTTTCTAAAGGAGATAGGTGTCATTCGATATTCGTATTATAACTAGGTAAGGTCAATGTCAGCTCAGAGCAATGTTTTAATGAGATCCTGAAGCAATGTTGAACTGGGATGGTTTACATAAAAAAATCCTTTCTTTAATATGGATCCCCACCGTCTTCTAAGCAATTGCACGGAATTAATATATTGACTGGCCACAAGGAAAACTCACAGATTATACATTGACACCAGTGAGGCAACGTATTTCCACCAACATTTTGAAAAAGTGGCTAGTAATAAACCGACAAATTATGGCCAATAATAGCTGTTAGGTAAAGTAATTGGATTAAAGATATTCGTAGGTAGTGGGTCCGCACAATGACACAGCACTTCGAACAGATTGGCAAGAGAGAAATGAGACATCAATAACGGCGGTACCTGCGCACACAAACGCATACGCACACAAAACAGTATACTATGCATCCTAGGTGTTTGTGCCAGCCAAGATAAAGTGTTACGACTAGTTACTTCAATTTCGCATAATGTTAACAGGTCGAGGTGATCAATTGTGGAGTTCGTTAGACAAAAAGAGACCGAATAACTTGCTGAAATTGTTCGAAAAACATCCTCGACTTAATTCAAACAGGGAAATGAGAAATATATTGTGAGATTAGTGAGTTGTTACAACTGGATGTGGTGCCATTCTTTAAAATCCTAAAGTAAACGAAGGTGGGTCATGTTAAATAATTACTGATTAGCGTAAATTTTGGAATAGAAAACGCTGAACTAACTGGAAAAAGCGCCATGACGACAAGAATAGAGCAATTAGGTTATTTCTTAGATATGTTGCATTGATCAAGAACGAATATTAGAATAAAACAAAAAAACAGGAGCGACCCCGTCTTCTTTGATAGCGTGTAAGAGACAGAAAGTCATCTATTTTATTTTAATAGCCCGTAGTGACAGAGCCAAAATATTACCTTACATGAACAAAACCATAAAAAAAATCAGACAGATACAAACATTTGCAGTGTTCAATAACCTACCCAGAAAGGAGTGGAGACAAATTTATAAACGCATATATCGCTACCAACATTTCCTCCTCAATACCACAACTTTAAACGAATTATTATTGGTTGAGGTTGAACCAATGGTGGCTACATATCAATATGGAACATTTAACCAAAATATTATTTGAATCGTAGTAGACGAATATGTCTTAGAAGAAGATTTGCTCTTAATTGAAGCAGCCAATACCGAATCCTAACTTCTCAATGGCAGACATCATCTAACAAGTTAAGAATATTCCAAAGTAATATGAAAGCGAGGTTATCTAAATCTCGTTATTTTTAATTAAAAAAACTAAAACATCAAATCGATAAAAGTCCTAAAATTAACGTATTTTTCCCTAAACGTCTCAGTCAAAGTAAACTTTGAGATAGGGTGCAATCAGGAAATTGAAATGTCAGTAGAAGCAGCTATGAGCACCGTTGCCCCATAAAACATCGTGTTGTGATTCATGTCTGTCCACACCCCTTAATCCGGTCGCTCCACCTCCGATACAGGGTTTCCCTTTTTGCAGCATGTTGCCAGCCATGCGGATGTTCAACTCCCCTCTCATTCACACGGATATTTAACTTGGATTATCCTCACACCTAGGTCTCGATGTTACTGCATGCATGATTCACACATCAAAGGGATAAATGCACACGCTCAAACCCCACTGACGACACAACGACACTGACGTGGTTGAGCTATGATGTAAACGGGTGTGTCCACATCATCTCCGATCTTTTTCTTAATCTAGGTTATCAGGGAAACGTAATCGGGCCATGGTTAATTCCGTGGCCCCGGGGAGTTCAAGACCACGTGCTGAGGCCCACAACAATCGAAGTAAACCAATTAGTAATAAGTGTCCTAGATAAAGGATATATCATTCTGTATGACATCGCTAACATAAGCGATTATATGTAAAAATAGTTTATGTATTTGCCATGCATCCTAAAGACTTTATATTAGACATTCATTTTAGAGGCATATATGTTACTTTTATTTGTAAAAAATGCCGCCGGTACATATTAAGCCATAAATGCTATTTGTTTATTCATCTCCTGAATTTACATGGTTTGTCCTTTCAGCACACTGTTTCAAGTGAATATTAGAATTCCTAATCCTTGCCTGATAAAATAGATGCAAGATAATAGTGAAAAACGAACAAACGCGTTTAATTTTAAGGTAAAAGCAGTTTTTAGTCATTTACCTCGTAAAAAATTGTATGAACAGACTTTGAAAGTCTTATATATACTGGCTGAGTGTAACAACTTTCAATTTTGCGGCCCTTTTAATTACAAAATTATGCGTGCTTACCCATATTACACTGTCCCAAGCAACTGATTTTATTAGACTCATATGTTCAAGTCTGTGCCATTCTGTTCAGACATCAAAATGTGTGGAAAACACCCGAGGAATGCTAACAATTGAAAACGAAATTGCATGCTTTGAGAAATGTATTTTTTGTTAATACAATGGCTGATGTGTTTTCACTATTAGCTTTCTTCTATGGTCACTAACTGCAAATGGCCGTGACTCATATCACATATTTGCTGAATACCCGAGCCCTAGCATAAGGAAGACAGGTACAACAGAACAGCCTTTATTGACTAATAATGAGCCACAACCTCATGTCAGGTGCCATCCATCCGAGTGCCTGGGACTTGGCTAAGGCCAGTGCGGTCCAAAATGCTTGCACGTTTTTGCGAAGCTACACTAATCCACTCGGAGAGAGAGGGACAAGATAGAAAATGAAAACTGCTGACGATTAGAAAATTGGCGTCATTTAAAAGGGATTACTCTAGTAGTTAAGTTAAAAGGATTGTGGTAGATTACAACAGCAGTCGTAAAATATAACCTCAAATTGAGCACAAAATATCGTTAGCTGATTCTAAAGCATACCTAATGTTAATATGTGTTTGTGATGTGGGATTTGCGTAAACGCAGTCAACTGAACAAAATGTATATTTCAAACATAGCGTCATGTCTATGTTGTCCGCCAAACATGTCCAATTCCGAATTGAATTATTAAGATCTTTTTTAAACAAGATGATTTAGTGACGCCAATTTATCATTTTCAAATGTGTGACATATCGGTGCACATTTGATCCATGCGATCGGCATGTGGTTCTTGTTTTCCTAGTAGACAAAGAAGTAATAGACACATTGTAATGGACATTTACCACTTGTGGCTATATGAATTTTAAGTAAAATGAAACTTATTGTGCAATTTCTGTGTAAAAACTAATTTTTTTAAAATTTTCAGTAAAAAATATTGGTAGGAGAAGAGGAAATATGTACAAAGTGGTGTGTTTTAATTATTTATTGCCG